ATGTAGCACTTCATGGTTTGTCAAATAGCTACATATAGTTTGATGTTCTGCCAAGAAAATTCTCAACAACATCCTTGGATGCTTTCCAGGTGATTTTTTTCTGGCCCCACTAACAGATCTTTGAAGCACTTGTCATTGATGACATATTTCATCTGCGGACTAACAAAAATGCCTTCCTTAATCTTGGCATCAGTTATTCTTAGAAACATCTGTCTCATATAATGAAAACCTTCACTTGTTCATTGCTTTTACAAAATTTTTCATCAGTCTGAGTTTTATGTGAAACGGAGGCAAAAAAAAAAATCTTTGTCAGATCAAGTGGTTTATGTGCCTTGATTTTCTGCCCTGGAACCAAATTATTTCAGAATGGCCATTTGTTTTTAATGTAATGCTACTCTCTTTATGGCTGTCCCATTTACATATGTAACAACAGTACTTGATATATCTGAGCTGCATTCCAAGCAGCAGAACCATTGCTTTTAGTTATCCAGATATTTCAATTGTACTTGGTGTACTGGATGTGCCTCAGCAACAGTTCCATGTTTTTACAAAGCAATTTATAATGCAAGCAAAAATTAGTAGGTTCAAAATATATACAAGAAGAAACTGCAAAAAGAGCAGTTATTGTGATTAGGCTCAAAAATCTATAGCAGTGTTGGCAAACCTTTTTGTCACCACGTGCCAAAATGGGAGCGCACGCACCCACGTACAAGCCCGCATGCTGGAAACCAGAAGAGCACCCAGTTTCTGCCATACCCCCCACCCACCTGGTCTTCAGGTTTCTGGTGCACATGCACACATGAAGACCAGCTGGCCAGTGCGCATGTGCGCACCGGAAACCAGAAAAGTGCCGATGAAGCCCGCCACAGAGAACTAGCCAGCACAGCCCCCCCTCACTTCTGCCAAGGAAGTGTGACCGCTTCCCAGCCGGCACGCCTCTTACCCCGGCGCCCGACAGACGTTCCTCCTGAAACAGATGCGTAAAAAGGATGAGAAGGAAGTCAACACCCACCCGTCATCTCAGCCATATGTGCAACGGGGATGCCCCGGAGGTGGATGCACACCTTCCATTGCTGAGCCACCAAAGGCTTGGTTGGGGCCAGAAAGAGTGCAGCCCTCCGCTCACGCCACTTCTGCAGGGCAAGGGGCAGGAGTGACCAGCCAGCTACTGCAGCCACTCCCCCACTGGCAAGCCAGGCCCTTGGCAGTGTCTCCATGTGTGAGGACCTGCACTCTCCTCCAGTCCTTCTGGGGCAGTGTGAGAACCACTACCGCACCCTCCCTCCAGCAGTGGCAGGAGCCAGCCAGGCGCTCTGGACTCCAGGCGCTCTGGACTGCACAAACTCCGTTTTGCAAAGCACAGTTCAGACATCCCTCGCTTGGCAAGCCAGAGTTGGGAAATCAAACCTAACTGCAGACTTCATAATCTTCCTTATTTTTGCCATTTTCTCAGGACTGAAAAAAAAAAAAAACCCAATATGAAACATTTGTAGAAGACCTTATCTAAGACTGATGAAGTACATGTAATAGATACATCATAAATTTTGACTTCTTGCCACAAACAAAATTTCTTTCCATAGTTAAACTGTAAGTTACTTGTTACGGGAAACTACAGGTTAAAAAAGCTCAGCTGCATGTCTTTCCTGCATCTATGGGGAAAAAAATTGAACCTGACATTTATCAATGTCAATTATTTTCTTTTAGCATGATTTATAATCCATTATAAAGATGCAATTCAATAAAATCATCAATATTTATAATAGTACATATATTACATTTCAGCTCTATTTTTTAAACAGAAACCAAGTTAATATTTATAAGATATTCCTTTACAACTTTTACACACACACACACACACACACACACACACAAGTTGGAACTAATTCACAAGCATCAGAATGACAAAAAGGGTGGTACCATTATTCCATTAGTTAAGTAAAAGTTCTAGATGGGTTTCCACAACATACAGAGAACATACTCAGATTTTTAAAAAGGTTGGTTTGGTGTGATCTCTAGCTACTGTTTTAAACCATTAACAGCCTCTCTCTTTTCAGTTCTGTAGAAACAATTTAGAAAGAAGAAACAATTTTGCAGAAACTGTATCAACATCATTACCATTTTGCTCTTTTCAAAGAAGCTCATTGAGAATGATATAAGTATCCCTTCTAAGGATTTATATGAACTGAAGGGACTTCAGGAAAAGGAAGAATGGGAAAACTGAGGTGGAGGTTTAATTATGCCACAGCTTGTATGAATAACATCTGTCATGTAGAATGACTGCTCCTCTGTAGCAGGCCAGTCTGCAATGCTACCACCTTTCCTAAATTTAGATATTTATTAAAGGATGTTGATAGTTGACAAGTTAATGTTATTTTAAAAGTGTTTATTTTGTTGTAAACTATCATATAAACAGGATAAATACTAGGAACTTTCCAACAGAATAAATCCGAAGATATTTAATCAATCAAAAATATTAATCTTGTTCAATCTACTGGTAGGTGAGCAAATTAACAGTGGGGTACAACTTCTACCTGTGTTCTATGCCTATTCTTCAATCATTTATTTCCTTTTTTGATTAGTAGCCAATATATAAAAGATAAACAGTCAGCTCCCAAAATACACAACATAAAGAGTTATTAAAGTGCATTCATCTCAATAGTTTACACAACATTATAGTGTTAATGTACTACAATAATGTTATTAGGATTTAAATGAGAGTTACATCCTGTAATAATTACAATAAACTCTACCAAGAGAGTAATGGAGAGCCAGTTTGATGTAATGGTTAAAGGCACCAGGCTAGAAATCAGAAGGCCATGAGTTCTAGTCCTCCCCTAGGCACAAAGCCAATCAGGTGACCTTGGGCACTATTAGCCCTAGGAAGGAAGCAATGGCAAACCACTTCTCAAATCTTGTCAAGAAAACTGAAGTGACTTATCCAGACAGGAGTCAGCATTGACCTGAAGGCACCCTCCTGCCCCACACTACAGAGAGATGAAGTCTATATTTTAAATGTTTTACCATTGCCACTTTTTAATGCGTGAAGGAAAAAGAACATATTACAATAAAGTTTCCAAGTACCCGTTAGGCAACACAATCTATTTTGTAAAACCAACAGTGCTGATGAAACTTAAACTGATGTCCTACTAACTTTTTACAGTGAAAACCAAATCAAAACTACTCTACTTTTAGTACTGTGCCGATTCTGCAGATTATCTAACCCAACCCACAAACAGACAGTATGCGCATACATTATGATTCTAAATATCTGTAAAGGAGATACTGGCACTGATGATGTTACCCAGTTTGGGGGGGAAAAATCATTTGCAAGAAAACAACCAAGCTCAGAGAGCACCAAGGACCTTTTGATTCTATATATGCTTTCACATAAAATACATAATAGTAAATGTAAGTTATAATGGCAAATAATCTATTACAATACAGCAATAAAATTATTCAAAACAATGTTTCAATTCATGAAATGCAACAGAATCTGCATTAGTTTCATATATTAAAGTCTAAAGAGTGAAGCCTGTACTTGAGATATTTAAATATTTAAGTGCTCAGTCTAAAATCCAGGTAGTCCTCAGCTTACAACCAAAACTGAGTCCAAAATTTATGTTGCTAAGTGAGGCAGTTCTTGAGTGTCTGTCCATTTTACAAACTTTCTTGCCACAGTTGTTAAGTGAATCTGATTTCCCTATTAACTTTGCTTGTCAAAAGGTTGCAAATAGCCCCAGAACACTGCAACTGTCATGAATATGAGTCTGTTGCTAAGCATCTGAATTTTGATCGCATAACCATGGGGATGCTGTAATGGTTGTAAGTGTGAAAAACGGTCTTAAGCCACTTTTTTCAGTGGCATTGTAACTTTGAATTTTCACTCAATGAACTTTTGTAAGTTGAGGAATACATGTATAGTATAAAACATGCCATTAGTACATGGCATCTATTTTAGTACTTAATATCCAATTCACATTTCTTTCATTAAAATTACTTCAACATTAAATTAAAATATGCATTGGTATTTAGAAGTAAAATCTTATATTTAGGCCTACAAAATATATAAAATTATGTTTTGTCTTACAATGCATGAGCTATATAAACCATGAAGAAAGAAGAAGAAAGTAATGTGCAGAAATATATAATAAACAATTATAAGAGCTTGTAGGAAAACAATGGATTATTTGAAGATAGAATTCTAGTAATAAATGTTGCAGAGTGCTCCAGTTTTAAAAGACAAATAAGCTTTTTAGATTTTTTTTTTTAAGCAAACAGAAGCAGCTGCACAGCAGGATCAGGAAGAAAACAGTAAGCACAAGATTTCTAAAGCAGAATGGAGGGGGGGGGGAAAGCACAGCTTGAACTCTGAACAACTTTGCAGGTTTTGTTCTATATAAGGCCCAAATCTATCCAGTTCCTTTTATCCCCAACCCTCTTGAATAACCAATTGTATCAGCATCTACCTGTATAACCACCAAAAGAAATGTGAAAACGGGGATACTTTAGTCCAGGGCTCTCCAACCTTGGCAACTTTAAGCCTGGCGGACTTCAAGTCCCAGAATTCCCCAGACAGCTTTGCTGGGGAATTCTGGGAGTTGAAGTCCGCCAGGCTTAAAGTTGCCAAAGTTGGAGAGCCCTGCTTTAGACGGGACCAAACGAGCTCCAAGTGCAAGGTTTTCGAAACGAGAGGAAAACTATGAATTGTCTAAGCGAGAGCCGTCCGACAAAACGTCGAAAGGAACGGCTTTTTTCCCTCCCCTTGACAGGAAAGGAGATTAAAAGGTGGGAAAGAGCGTTGGAGAAGAAGTTTCCCTCCAAGAGGGAAGGCGGCACGAAAAAGACAGAAGGCACGGAAGGCGCCAAAAGGATTACGGGGCTCCGCCAGGAAGCGGCCGCTCGCTCGAAGAAAGGCCCGGGAAAGCCACCCTTCCCCACCGCCGCACCTGTAGCCCCAGGCCAAGAGCGCCGCGACGCCTCGTGGCCCCGGGGAAATGTACCTTTGAGCTGGGGCAGCGGGAAGAGCTCCACTTGGCTGCTCTGGCTGCGGAACTGCGACGAGCCCTGCGACCGCTTCTGCTTCTGAGCCTTGCGCACCGACCTCCGGGTGAAGCCGTCCACTTTCTCCGCGGCGGTGATCGCCGTCGACATGGCGGGGCTCGCAGGAGACACAGGCGGGCCCGTGTCTTCCCCGAAGCATAAAAACACGCCACTCCGGAAGCCGAAAGCAAAGCAGCGGGCGGGTCGCGCTGGGTCGCCCCCTTTAATGGAACATCTCCCCGGGGGGAAGAAGGAGAAGGGAAGGAGAGGCGCTTGGGAGCCGGTGCCCGAAAGGCTCGTTGGACAAGAGCTTGGGGAGGGATTCCCTGGGGACGAGGCGGAAAAGCGTCCGAGGGGACGGGCTTCCGATTCGACGGGAGGCTTGTTAATCCGATGCTCGTCCGCAAAGGGAGGCTCCAAATCCGAGGCTTCCGAAGTTTAAAAAAAGACACGGCTGGGAGACACCACGCTGCGTGCGTCAGGCTGGCAGGCAAGGCTCCCCGGGACGGAGGCGCCGAGCTGCAAGCAACAAGAACCCGAGGAAAGTTTCTACTCCGCCCCGCGGTTGCACCGCCTCGCCTTCGCCGCCCGCCCGCCCGCCCGCGAGCAGCAAACTTTTCGCAGCCGGCGCGCGAGGAGTCGCCTGCGCTTGGGACTCCCTCAGAGGTCAACCGAGTCGCCCTGCCGGGAGCTGGCCAGGAAGAGCCGGAGCTTAACAAAGAGCTGGGGGAGAAGCCCCGGAGAAGCCGGGCGGTGCAGCCCTTCAGCCCCCATCGGGAGCTCCCTCGGACTCTCGGGCCAACATCCCGCCGCGCTGCTTTCTTCCCGGCTCGGGTAGACGGCCGCTTCCTCTTTCCTGGAGCTCCGGCGGGTCCGGCGCGGCACAACGTAACCGCGAACAGGGCGAAAGCTCCCCGCTTCCAGAATCAGCGCGCAACCTGCTGGAAACGCTCGAGCAACAAGGACAAGAAGAGTTCCGAGTCTGGAGCGGAGGCGGGGCCAGAAGCAGCGCCAGAACTCGGGGATAGGGGAGGGGATTGACAAGGGGGAGGGGGGGGCTTGGAAAAGGAAGCGGTTGGAACAACCGTTAAGAGGAGAGTCGCCCGAAGGGCGACTGACGGGAGCGCGCAGCCAATTGAGAAACGCGGCCTCTCCAAATTACCATAAGAAGGCGGAACAAAGAGAAAGCAGCCGGTTTTACAGGAGACGAGGCGACTGACAGCGGAACGGACCAACGTGAGAAGACTGGGGGTGGGTGTCGCAAGAGGAAAGCGATTGGTTCTTGAAGCGGCGGTGGGCGGGAAGAGTGGGAGGTAATGCCAAGCCGGGCAGAGGTTGTTTTCAGTGCCTTTTGGCAAAGGAGCCGCTTCGGTGAGGTTCCTCTGGGATTGTTTTGAGCGGGCTGTGGCATGCTCTCTACTCCGAGCCTTCCCTTGTTTTCGCAATGGCCCCTTTCCGGCTATGGATTGGCTGCCTGCAGCTATTACAAGGACGACCTTTCATCTTCGCCTGCTTTGCGAGTTTAGCCGGTGCGCTGAAGTGAGAGTTTGGGGGAAAGGATTTGGAGCAGCGCCTCTCAATCTCAGAATTGGGTGGACTTCCAACTCCCAGAATTTCCCAAGCTGAAGATCGTTGGACTGAGTTGACGTCCGCGCTGTTCAAAGGCCCTGAGATTGAGAAATACTGAGGTCTCCAAACTTGCCAACTTTGCATAGCTGAATTCTGGGAGTTGAAGTCCACAAGTCTTAAAAGTTGCCAAGTTTGGAGACCCCTGGTTTAGACCCTTGGGTTATGAATATGAATTATGAATATGAATAAACCACAGTTCGCTTAAAGCTGGCTACAATGCCCCCATGCGAATACCCCACCTCTGACTTCGCCGGATTTCCCTGCTTCCAAAGGCTCAAAGTCATTTAAAAAAAAAAAAAGCAAGAAAAGGGATAAGACTACCGTATCTGGGCTCCAAAAGGATGGCCGTGCAAGCTCCACACTGCCATGTAGCAGCCTAAAAGATGGAGAAGAAAAGAGGGAAACGGAAAGCAACCATCTGAATGTTTTCCAATAGAACTGTACAAAGGCAAAGAGCTAAATGTGTTATGCAACTGCAGGTGTCCGCTAAGGGGATTAAACGACAAAACTTAAATAATGTTATGTGATTATTTCTCCGTTTTTAATTCTGATTTACAGATTTGGGAAGCTGTAGGCATCTTGGAATTGGCTTTTGCAGTGGCCTGTAAAAACCCTATAAATAAATCAACGTTGACATAATTATGAGAATGGCACACGTATTTGTATCAGATGCTAAGATGTATCCTTGGTGGCATTTGTGTGATGATGTTGCCATGTGTGCACAATGTCTTTGTATCTTGCAGTGGTTTATTTTTGGCAAGCTTTACTGACATTTATTTATTGAGATTTAATCTCACACTCCATTCAGCATTTTAAATAACGGGATGGTTCTACTTTGCTCCTCATCTTGGCTGAGAATTGGAAGATACAATCTCAACTCGTGGAAGATACAATCTCTATCAATATTGTTTGCAGCAAGTGAAAGATAAAATTCCTGCAGATCCAATACAATATATCATGAATTTAGAAAGTATATCGGTGTATATATTTGATCTATTTTAGATTCTAACTTGGGTTATACCCATTCAGAACATAATCAAGGTTATATCCTGTTATTCAATAGATCACAATGAAGTTGCACTAATGGAACACTTCTTAATGTAACTTTCCAAAATTGAAAAGGCTGTACAGTATTTAAATCATTTATTTTATTAGAGTTTTCATGCTAAATTGTCAAGCTTCACCTTGAAGAAATGACTATAGTAAAAGGTCAGTGCCATCTTGTCAAGGGATTTAGTCTGAAAATTGTGTAGATCCATTAAATATCTCAAATTTAATTGCCATTAATCTTAATGTTTTTCTTTCATTGTTTTCCTCTTAATTTACTTGTGAAATCCAGTCTGTCTTTGTCATATGAATTTCCCTGCTCTATTTAGTGGTTCTAAAATTTCTGCTTAGTGATTTCTCAAGCTTGAGTGATTCAACACTGACACCAGTTCATAGCAGTTCTTAAAAGGAGCATGGTGGGTCATGTGATTAAAATGCTGGGTTGACAATGTGTGAACCTGTATTCGAAACCTGAGTGCTGCTGTGTGACAGGGTGAGCTCTGATCATTTGCTCCAGTTCCTGCCCATCTAGCACTTTGAAAGTATGCAAAATAGAGTAGACAAATAGGTACCACTTCAGTGAACACATTAATGGGGATGTGAAAGGAGTCCCCAACCAGGCATCCCTTGGGCAATGGTGATATAACCATCTAATTCTTTAATTCCAGGAACAACTTGGTACTTCCAAGATGGATGGGATGGGATAGCAGTTCTTGCAGAGCTAAACTGTGAACACAGCTGTGCCCCCCACCAAAAAAAGACATAAGGGAAAAATCAGGTCCATACATGAAGGTCCAAATAAATTGATGTAATAATGCTATTCATGCCTATGTGCAGGAATATTCTGAACTAATGGTTAGCACCTGTTAGGCAATAAATAAGGGTTAGTGAAATTCAAAGGGGGGAGTTGGACACACACACACCTACAGGGAGGGAGGGAGGTGGGGGGGGAGAGAGAGACCAAGACCAGTTTCTCAAGTCTGCAAGATCGTTATCCAGCTTGTTCAAATTCAGGCCCCTATCAAAACATTTTGATTAATCATGGCAATTCCCATATTAAAATATCATGGCTATTAGTTTATATGTTTTCATATATTTTAATTTTTTCAATGTATATGCTATACTATGTTTTAAATTGGATGGGTTTATATTTTCTTCAATGAACCCAGTTTGATGTAGTAGTTAAGGGACTAGCCTAGAAATCAGGAGACTTAGCTATCTCCAATGGAGGCATTAATATATCCTAATGCCATGGATCTGAATAAAACAATAAAATACAAAGAACTCATAACAGATGAAGGTGACCTGAAATCACAGATACAACTCAAAACACAAGGAACTGAAATTAGGTGGTGGCCATACCTCCAAATTCAAACAAAATATAAAAAAGACAACAATTTGGATTTTACAACAAAGAACAGGAATTAGACAAAATATTACAATTATTACTAAATTATACAATTGCTTATTGGAATTTAAAATGGAAGAGGAAATGGTTAAGGAGAATATGATAATATGGGCTAAAAATTGCGGTCATAACATCCACTTAGAACAATGGGATCGAATATGGCAAACCAAGTATAAATTAATGTTTTCAGTATCATATAAAGAGAATATTTATAAAATGTTCTTATCGCTGGCACCTTCCACCGGCAAGATTGGCAAAAATGTTTCCCAATATGTCACCCAAATGCTGGAAGTGCAATTATAGCCAGGGAGCGTATTTTCACATGTGGTGGGCATGCCCCAAAGCTCGAAAATACTGGTCTAAAATACTAGGATGGCTGGAAGAGATGACAAAATTAAAGATTAAATTCAACCCAGAGACCTTCTTATTGGGAATACCAGTAAAAAACAACAGCATCTAATGCTACACATCATCACAGCAGCAAGAATAGCCTTTCCCCCAAATTGGAAATTAACAATGGATTTAGCAGTAATCAACAAAATTTACCAATGCACAGAAATGATTAGATTAACTATGATATTAAAAAACAAGGAAGAGGGAGAATTTTTTACAACATGGAATACATTGTACAAATGGTTAAATGAAAAGGAAATAAAGATGTATAGTGAAAATGATTAAAGAAATATTATGGAACAATATAAATAAGGATAAATGTATAGCTATGAATATATGTATAGTATAGCTATGTATATAGTTGTAGTAGTGTAGTAACATAGGAAAACAATGTATCATGGTGTATTAATAACAGATAAGTAAGAAATCAGGAATTAGATTTAAGATATCTTTGTAGTAAATGATCTTAAGTAACACTAATAGAGATGTACACTGTTATGAAAACACTGTAAAATGTGAGAACATGATTCTCTTTTTAAAATATTTTTTCTCGAATAAAAACTATTTTAAAAAAAAGAAATCAGGAGACTTATATGTTCCCTTATTCATGAAAGCTGACTAGAGAGCTTTGGATGAGCCACTCTTTTTCTAAACCCAATCCACTTCATGAGTTGTTGTGGAGAAAATAAGGAAGTGGAAGAATTAGGAACGTTTGCCACCTTTAGCTAGCTAGATAGGTAAACACACAGACAGACAGGCGTTCTTATATGTATCCATTTCATGTATTCATAACTATGTTTATATTTATACCTATTATCTTGTAAGCGATTGACAAAT